TATGAGTTGTCTACTTGTAGGTTTAATTACAGTTTTAATACTTGTAACATTTAACTTTTAACAAAAGTTTTGCTTATTTGATTTTACATTTCTTTTGCTAACTTGAAGTTTTAAACGCTGTTTTACTTAGCGGTATTTTAGATTTTAGCCATTATTTTACTAGATTTAGCTTTTTGGCTTCAAGTTTGCTACATTTAAATTTTAGCTACAGTTTAGCTCATTTAGCCACATTTCTTTCTATAGCTTTAAACTAAATGTATTCTTAATTTTAGCGTTTGCTCAGGGTTTTGTGGATTTTCGTTTTTGTTTTTCTGCGTTCAACTTTAACAATTTTTTAAAACAATTTATTTCCTTTAACTCATCCATACAACCATCCATTATCTTTATCCACCTCTTCCTTTCCGGGTCACTGGTGTCCATGTCCAACAGTCACTGTGCAAGAGGTGGGGGACACCCTAGACAGGTCTCCAGTCCATCACAGGGACACATGAGACAAACGAGACAAACAATCATTCACTCTCTCACTCACACCTAGGAACAATTTAGAGTTACCAATCAGCCTAACATGCATGTTTTTGGTCTGTGGGAGGAAACCGGAGTACCCAGAGAAAATCCACGCATGCACGAAGAGAACATGCAAATTCCCAGAATGGTCCAGACTGGTGATTCAAACTGGCAACCATCTTACTGGGGATGGCTCTACCAACTGCACCACCAGGCCGCCCCGTTAACTCATCAAATTTTAGCAGTAATTTAGCCACAATATATTTTTTGCAGAAAATGCATCTTCTCTAGTGTTATTTTTTTTTACTTTCTTGTTTTTAGTTTGTATTGTGTGTGTGTTTACATCATTGCTTTTTTGCTAATTTTATTGTTTTAGTAGTTTAGTTTTATGACAGCTCAGTTTGTGAAACACAAAGCATGGGAGCAGATTTAATTGCATAAAATATTTTAGTCGTGTACAGTACATTTAAATGAACAAATACTAATAAACCAACTACTCAATACTTTATTAAATGACAGACACAGCAACACATTTTGAAGTAAAGCCACTGCATTAATTTGGAATATACAAAAGATACATGTACAGACTGAAAAATTACAAGAGATGGCAGAACTCTCTGTGTAGCCAGGTTCAGCACAGAGAGCTGATTTCACTCTTGCTGCAGCCCCACTTGCAGCAAGCACTGGACAGTCCGACCACAACGTCCCGTCCTTTCCTATCTACGCTCTGAAGAGCCTCCATCACCTCCTCTGAGACTGGACGGGTGAACCCAGCAGCCATTTCCAACATTTTATTTTTCCATGATTGGGATTTATCTGGATCCAGCTCGCCAGAAAGTTGAGAAATTGGATTGTTCCATGAATCAAGGGTCTCCTCTTTGATGAGAGCTACGATAATCACAAAAAGGCAAAATAGAAATTTGGTTTGAACATATCACAAATATAAACTGGTTTTCGTTTATGTCATAGTCTTACCTGAGTCTCCGCTTCTCCTCCAGCGAGATCCACCACATGTAAAGATTACAGCCCGTATGAACTCTCTTCCGCACAGTTTCACCCCATAGAAAGAGGAATGACCGTCATTGCACTGCGTCTTGTGTACCAGTGCCACCAACAAACTCAAGGTCAAGAGTGTTGCTTTCCACATGGTTCCACGTCTCAGTGGCTTATGGTTAAATTTGGACAGACCATCTCACCTTTTATAGGCTTCAGAAACTCAAAGATGGACACTCATATCACTTCCATTTTTTGTCAAACTCAAAGATAAGACTGGAGACCTTTGGGTGCAACAATGCCCAGAAGACAAGAAAAGGTTGTGATTAAGTAGAGTATGATACTAGAGGTGAGGTCAGCAAAACTCTTGGCAATCTAATCACCTCTGACATTTTGGTGGCCTTTCCGTCCTTTGCATCATTTCATTTGTGGCAGGTGTCACCAGTACAATCACCGTATATCTGCTCTGCTGAGCATTGGGTGGAGATCGCTATCCAGTCACACTAAGGGAAACTAGAATGCAAGATGATGGTGTCACACTCACAGGAGGACACTCAAGAGATATTACAATGCATGCTGTCTAAAAACTGACAAGAAATTCTGAGTATTGCACAATTCAAGCAAAAGTATTACTTAAAAAAATGAAGAAGCGGGTAAAGATAATGGATGGGTATTACTTAAGGCCATGCAAAACAGCCATATTTATATCCTAAATTCCTGTTATGTTTTACAAAATGGCTGTAGACAACATTCTAACTGAAATAATTATAAACTGACATGGGAAGAGTACTCTCAAGTCCATAAAGTTCTGCACTGGTTAAAAACATCTTGTGCATCAGGTAATTTATGTCCTCAAAATGTAGAACTAAGTACATTAACTATATTTATTATTTATTAATTTATATGTGAGTATATTAAGGGACTAAAATCATTAAATCTTTAGCTAATCTCTGGTATTAAATGTTTTCCATTTAACTAGTCGGTGCAAGTAAAAAGAAAAGATTAGGATGGTGTAAATGAAAGACAAGCACTACCAACCAATCAGCAATCCATAATTTTAATGACATCACGACCACCCCCAGTCTTATCCAATCAGCGCTTAGCAGTGGGCGGCGCAATGAGTGGAGGGTAGCAACAGTTGCCCCGGTGAAGGATAGGCGCCATAGTCACGGTAGTCCTGGCGACGAGAGCCAAGCAACCGGAGTCAACAACAACAAGCGAGCTCTAAGGGAATAAACTTTAACGACTATTAAGGACAATACTGGGACATAAAGGTGAAAAGTAAAACGTCTCAGAATTTGTTGTTTTGTTTTGTAAATTATTAACGTGTGTTTGTGTGCAATGGCAATTGTTAACGTGGACTCGGTCAAGCCTATCGGGTGATGAAGTGGTTGCTAGCTTCTTTCCAAACCGACCGTTGTTATGGCGATGCCAGATCTTTGATAAGAGCACAAGATGGCGGAGGGGTTGTACTGCCAATCGTACTTTTTAAAGAGCTCCGTCTGTCATAGTGTTCAAGTTGGTTATTTGCAGTTTCGGTTACCACAAAAATACAACTAGGCGTGATTGATTATCAGAGCGCGGCTCTATATCTATGAACTAATTTATAAGAAGCTAGCTCTTTTTAACGTCACAACTCGACGTCAGCTGCTAGCAAGGAAGGCTACGTACAGTATCTGAACTCACTTTTCAAAGCTGTCCAAAAAAAAAAAAAAAAAAAACATAACGCATGTACGCACATAAAAGCGCTCACGCATTTTAAGTGTGTCTGAGTTTTAATACGAGGCATAGCAGTTCAGTGCGTTGTTTTTTAATAAAGTATAACTTGAAAAAGTTTTTGGTGTGACAGTGAATTCGTCAAGTCACTCTATAAAAGTCGAGTGAATGTGTTGTATCGAAAAAAGTACCCCCGCGATGAAAACCCTCTAACGTAGGGAAACGCGTTTAACTACGCTGAGAAAAGTGATAATTTGACACCCTTTTTTTTTTATTTTGGAGGCTATAAACGTCTAAGGGCTTGATTTACACACGTCTCTTCCCCGGAAAATCTTATAGGCAGATATCCTAAGTAGATAGTTGTAGACATTTGTTTTCTTAAAGCCTGTGCGTCACGTTTGTCTGTTGCGAAACAAAACTTCTTCAAAATGGGTTTCGTATGACGGTGCGCTTTACAGCAGGGGTGCGTTTTTCAGCACAACACCTAATGATCGCAGACTAGTGTGGCTGCGTTGGTTTTCTCAGGAGTGGCTGTTCGCCAAATAGGATGTCCCAAAGCAGGGCTATTCAGTTACAAGTGGGCCATATATAAAAATTACTAGGCGTTTGAGGGCCACAGGCAATAATTGTTGTCCGTGGCGTAAAATCGAATATGTTTTGGCCAATGACAGGGTGTGTCTGTCTGTTTATTAAAATATCTCATGAACCTCAGGGCTAGTTTGAATGAAACTTGCAGCAAGTAATCAATGAATGCAGATCTACAATTAATTAACTTTTTGATTCAGTCAAATTCAAGAATGTTGTCCCAACCAACTGATCCTAAATTGTTTCAAAATTTGAAATTTTTCATCCCAGCACATATTCCAACAAATTGTGCAAAATCGTTGTTTTAAATGTCGCAGTTTGCTGTTAGTCAACTGCGTCTGTTGTCTAGAATAGAAAAAACATTGATCTCCTATGGGAAATTGGTTTGTCACTACATCAGACAGATTCAAAGTTATGAGTAAAGCAACAATCATAATAATAAATCGTGATCAATGAGTGCAGATTAAAAGAGAAGTAGTGCAGTGATGGCAGGGTACACATAACTTATGTACTGTATATTGTTTATAAAATATTGTTACTGTTATATGCAGGCATACATTTATTGGTGATAAAATTTCAGTCAGAAATGAGCTGTTTTAAAGTGAAATTATAAACAACTGAATTATTTTCTGTAGTCTTTGTTGCAATGGTGTTGAGGGAAACTTGGAAAAGGAGCTTCTCTGCCTTTGTTGGGTGTCATGATTCATGAAGGGTGTCCATGATGGAGAGCATTTTGTTCAGTGACCCCAATCTTGTACATCTGCAACTGATTAACTTTTGAAACCAGGTCATTTCAAGATGGCCTCTACAGCCAATTGATCTTAGAATACACAAATAGTTGCAGCTCAGTCAGTTTCCATTCAAGAGACATTTATTGTGGTAGTAACTGAGGGTCACAGCCAACACTTGTGTGACTTCTTGTGATATTACATGAGATTACATATAATGTCACTTTTAAGGTTTGGCCTAAATGTCTCCAGCTCTGTTATTTCTCAACATCGTTAAATATTGATTGCTGTTGACAAAGTGAACATTTGCTTTGAAATTGTCAAAATCTAAATCTATTATCAATCAATTTAGCTTTAAAAGATGCATCTTGATGCTTGTCGTGAGATGAATTAGTGTCACTTCTGCTGTTGTGTTCTGTTTGTACTGCATGGCACAGGTCAGATGGATGGGTCAATTAAATACCTACTTAAAGGTGCACATGTTTTCTTATCCCACACCTTTGCATTGTCACGGTTTACCAAATATTGTCTGTTTAACAGGGGCAGACTTCTAGTTTAATAATTCAAGGTATAGAAGTAGCTCTGTGTATTGAAATTATATAAAGCTTATATTAAAATAAATCAGTTTGGGATTCTGGCAGCTTTGTGGGAGCCAAAAAACTTTTAAAAGGTCCATATCTGGCCCGTGGACCACTAGTCGAATATGTCTGGCTTGAAGTTCTTACTGTCATTGGCTTGAATTATTAATATAAGCTTTTCACCAAGTTGTACAACCTGACTAATGAGATTGTGTTGTTTTAATTCACCTCAACTTATGTGCCTGGCCTCTACATATGTCTTAACTTCTTAACACAATAGAATAGATTTGTTTGTCAAGAGAAAGATTACACTTTCATATTGTAGACCAAACAGGAAAAGGCGTTTGACCAGTGCTTCATCTCAGACAAAAGCCTGCTTCCTTCTCTAGTTTATGTTACAATACCCCCCCCCCCCCCCCCCACACACACACACACAAAGTCTGTTTGCTCAAACTGTCCAGAGTTTAGAGATAATAATACAGCATTGTGTGTTTCAGTGCTTGTTCAAAGCACTTTCTTTAATGAATTCTGCCTCTTTTATCCACAGATCTAGTGCCTGAATACACTGGTCGCCATGGCAACTTGTGGATACTCTGAGGACCTTCAGCCACAGCAGGCCAGTACAGTAACCATGGCAACACCTGCTGTCACCACACCCTCATCTGTCAAGACCGCACACTTCCTGTCCGAGGTCTCACCAGCCTCTGGAACAATTTCATCAGCGAACCAAGCAGCCGTGGCCTCTAAAACGGGACAGGATGCACTTTGTTCTCAAGCGCCACCCACCCAGACCCAGAGCCAGAAGCCAGTGGTCCTAACAACTCCCACACAGTCTTACAATATGCAGCAAACTGCAGTTCAGAAGAGTAATGGACAGACCTCGCCCCAGTATATCATAGTAACGGTTTCAGGTGAGACAACGAGTAACAGAACATACCCACGTTACACACACCAGCAACTTGCATAAATATTACACCCTCTGTAACCCTGCAGGTAAGCTTACTTTGTCCACTAAAGGTTTATTGGTTCATTGTTGGGGTCCAGGGCAGCACGGTGGCGCAACTGGTAGAGCTGCTGCCTCTCAGCGAGCAGGTCCTTGGTTCAAACCCCGGTCCAGGGGCCTTTCTGGGTGGAGTTTGCATGTTCTCTCCGTGCATGCGTGGGTTTTCTCCGGGTACTCCGGTTTACTCCCACAGACCAAAAACATGCATGTTAGGCTGATTGGTAACTCTGAATTGTCCCTAGGTGTGAGTGAGAGAGTGAATGGTTGTTTGTCTCGTTTGTCTCTATGTGTCCCTGTGATGGACTTGCGACCCGTCCAGGGTGTACTCCGCCCCTCGCACAGTGATTGCTGGACATGGGCACCGGCGACCCCCGTGACCCAAAAGGAAGAAGCGGGTAAAAGATAATGGATGGATGGATGGTTCTAATCATCAGATATGAGGATTGTGTGGTAGAGTTGTTTGGTAATCAAAAGCAGGCAGCATGACGGCTCAATGGTTAGCACTGTTGCTTCACAGCAAGAAGGTCTTGGGTTCAATCCCCGGTTGGACCTGGGGTCTTTCTGTGTGGAGTTTGCATGTCCTTCTTGTGCTTGCGTTGGTTTTCTCCGGGTCCGCCGGTTTCCTTCCACAGACCAAACATGCGTGCTAGGCTGCCTCCAGGCCCAGGCCTCCCTTGCAAAAGAGATCTGTAATCTCAGTGGGATTTGCCTGGTTAAATAAATGTTAATAAATAAAAGGTTGATGGGTCCATTTCTAAATTCCCAAATTGACATATTGAAGCATACCTTTGAAAGACCCTGAACCCCATATCACCCCTGATGTGCTCATTGATGTGCGTCTGCGTAGAAAAAAAGGGCTATATGTATGTTTTTGTTACAGAGTACACTATACCTTAAAGTTTTTCTCGTTTACTCAGCCTCATGATCAAGGATCAGTCACATTTAATGATTAAAAAAAATACTTTTAATAACTATTGATTTAAAAGACTGTTGTACTATAGTAAAAGCTGTGATTTTTTGTACCAACATATCTTTAATTTTGAGGGAAAAAATTCAGGCTTTTGTTGGCTTATGACTAAAATGACTTGAAATGTTTAAACCAGAAAATATATTTATGGAATTAAAAAAACATTAAATAGTGTTAACTAAAACAAGGAATAATTGTACCAATAGTTTGCTTTAATCTGTCCTTTATGTTAAATTTAGAGCCATCTATTCTAGACTGTTTTGCCTGTTCATATCAGGTGACAGTGTGCACTCTCACCTAGAATGAGATTTGAGGCCCACTGCTCAGCGACTTCTCATAACTTAGGCCTGTATATAAGCTGTACAACAATTTTAATTAAAATGTTACGTTCCTTAAATTCTACTTACTTAACTTGTGCATCTTAATCAGCAAACACACTTTATAAAAGAGGAATCTGTTTGACTTTTATGTACTTCTATTTTAGGAACAACATATGCTATGATTCTGAATAAAGTTAAACATTTTTACTGGAGTTCAAATTGAAATACAGGAGTTATTTTATTTATTTCACATTCATTTAGCTGTATAATAATAAAACAGTTTGACACATTTGTTTGTTAAATTACAGTGGTGCTTGAATGTTTGTGAAGCCTTTATAATTTTCTATATTTCTGCATAAATATGACCTATTATCAGATTTTCACACAAGTCTTAAAAGTAGATAAAGAGAATCCAGTTAAACAAATGAGACAAAACTATTATACTTGGTAATTTATTTACAGAGGAAAATGATCCAGTATTACATATTTGTGAGTGGTAAAAGTATGTGAACCTTTGCTTTCAGTATCTGCTAATCCTAGAGGTGCACATACTTTTACCACTCACAAATATGTAACGATGGATCATTTTCTTCAATAAATAAATGACCAAGTATAATATTTTTGTTTCATTTGTTTTACTTGGTTTTCTTCATCTCCCTTTATGACTTGTGTGAAAATCTGATGATGTTTTCGGTCATATTTATGCAGAAATATAGAAAACTTTAAAGGCTTCACAAACACTACACCACTGTATGCACAATTTTATAATGCAGAAATAATTGATTTCTAGTTAACTTTAAATAAAACACTTAAATTCTGTTTTTCATTTAAAAACTGTTTCTAACTTAACAACTTCAACTTAGCTAGTGCTACACATAAAAGAAGCTAGTTGTAAAACGATAATTAAACATGGTTACACCAACTACAGGTAGTTTTAGGATCAGACTGACCTGGACGATATCACAGACCAAATAGAACATTAGTCTCTTCAACAATTAAATTAATAGAACTTTGGGATAAAAGTAGCAAACAGAAAAAAATATATACTTTTAATATTCAGCTTCCTGCAAAAAATCTGTGAGGGTGAAACGTGTAGTGATGAGTGAATAAATAAATAGTCCAACATTATTGAGGAAAAGGATAAAAGTTGTTAAAATGTTGTGTTGTTTCAGATGAAATGTGTAAAGGTCTGAGGTGAGATGTGCCGTGATGGGTTTGAAACTAAGTCAGATTTCTATATTTAATCTGTTTTCAGCCCAAGTTAAGAAAGTGACCCCTCTTAAGTTTTTCTTTATTTTATTTTTTAACCCTGAAGTTTACAAAATAGTGACTGTCGTCTCCTCTGTCACGGTCCACTCTCTGTTTTCTCCTCCTGTTCATCAGCCCACATGTATCTCTCATTTCCCTCTCTCATCTGATCTGCATGTTTACAAGATGGAGGGATTTTTCCCTCCATCTGGGGAGATTAGCTGTCCAAGGCTGTCCTACTGCATGCAAGATATAAGGATGAAGGGAGAGGTAGACAGATACACTCACACTCCTCTCCTGCTTTGCTTAATTGAAGAAAAAGTAAAAACGACATTTACGGTAGTTGCAGGATGTTCTGCGGTGGCTGTTATTATGATTTGGAGGCAGTATGCCGTGAGTACTGAACTTGTTTTGAAGGATGGGTGTTTTTTTTCAGTTGAGATTCGTTTGATGATCTTGTAAAACCTCCTCTATTCCTGATTCGTCTTCCACAGATGGCTCTGTTCACTCCAATGACAGTCTGTCCGACTCCAGCCCACCGGCGCCCGGTGTTCCAACGCAGGTGGTCCAACCCGTGCAGACCACCCCACAGGTAAGATACATACGTACACACAAATATCATGTGTATGACTATGTAGCAGCAGACCTTAGCATGGGGTAGAGTACGTATGCAGTTGTGTCTGACACTCTGGATGTACTTTCCCGCAGAGGTCAGTGTTGCAAGCAGTGTCGCAGGCAGCCAAGAGGATTCAGACAGGCCACATCAGCAACCTACAGTCTGTCCATATTAACCAGGAGGTACAGGATCATACATGAGACAATATGCAATACATACGTCAAGAACTTTCCTCAAATCTGTGAATCTGTGCACACTTCATCCCAGTCTCTTCTTGGTCTTTTTGACCCCTTTACAGACATGGGATATGTAACATCACTTCATTATGGATTATGCAACAGCACACAATGCAAGAGCTAGCTCAAAGTGCATTCACACAGATTAAAACGATCAGTTTCAAATTCAAAGGTCACCATTTGACTTTTGGAACTAACTTCACAGCCCCAAGAATTAATTACATATATGGTAGTTCCTGTTAGTTTATGCTCTTTTAAATGAGTAGTTCTGATCTGTATCTTCTTAATTCCAGTTTGTATGACACTAGTCATTAACTTCTCCAACAACTGCTTCACAGACAAATGAGCTTTTTAAAGCGACAAAAATGTCTTTACAACTTTACATGCTATATTCAGCTCAGCTCGATTGGCTCGTGGTTTTCTGAGTGTTTTCTCTTATGGTCAGTCACTGGCAGAAGTTTATCTGATGTGTTGTTTCAAATTGTTTACAAATGCTGTGTTAGCTCTAACCTTTAGGGAAAAGTTAAAAAGTTACTTTATATCACCTGCTGATTGTTGCTGGAGTGTAGCACTCGTCACTTCAGAACACACTTGTTCAGCTCACTGTACCGAACATGAACACGTTCATGCACAAAGCTGAACAAGACCGTGTTCATTTCAACATGACCAACTTGTTACACCACAAGGCTAGTGTCCAACTAATGGTTCCAGTGTAGCATTTAGCTAACAAGTTTATCTAAACAGATGTTTATGTACAGAGTTGAAAGAGTTGTAAAGAATAAATTCACATCAAAAAGTAAAAAACGGGAATAAAATGAATCAGTTTGTCAGAAATATTAATTTATGAGATGTATGTTGATGTTTTTGGTTACTCTGCTGCATCTCATGGTTGATGACCTGTGGCCAAAAATCAGTACTGCTGATCTCCTCTTTCCTCGTTGTTCAGGTGGAGCATGTGTATTCGGGTCAGGTGCAGTACGTGGACGGAGCAGGAGATGCAAATTTCACCACACCCACTATGTAAGCAGTGAGATCTTTTACATGTGGTCAATCGCACACATGTTGCAGCTTTACCGGTCACTGAGCGACGCACTGACGTTCCGTTTGTGTGTCATCGTCTTTTCTTGTTCAGCCGATCGAGCAGCTACCCCTTCTCCGACTCGCCCCTCTTTTCTCAGACACCTCCCACGTCCTCCACCTTTTTTGATGCCACGCCTAGTTCTGAGTCAGACATCTCCATATCTGTGACCTCACAAGCAGTTTCCGTGGCAACGACTGGAGCAAATAGTGGAGCTGCCGTGGCAGGTGGAGGGGGGTACGTCATCCAGGGAAGCTATGCATTGGGAGGAGGAGGCGGAGCAGGTGGCGGAGGAGGAGGACAAATCTACTCGAGCCCAAACTCTCGAGCCCCACCTGCTACTGTGAGTTCAAAGTGAGACCTCAGTGACAGAGTAAAATATTCAGAACATTGACCTCTACGATGTCCATCATCTCCAGGTGCAGTGGTTGCTTGAAAACTATGAGGGTGCTGAGGGTGTCAGTCTGCCTCGCTGCACCCTCTACTACCACTACCTCCTGCACTGCCAGGAGCAGAAACTTGAACCTGTTAATGCTGCATCCTTTGGTAAACTCATCAGGGCTGTCTTCATGGGGCTCCGCACACGCAGATTAGGAACCAGGTACACACACAAACACAAAGCAACCTGCCCTGTGTTCAAGCAGTTTCTGGGATGTTGCCGTAACTTTTTCACTCTCTGCATTTCAGAGGAAATTCTAAGTACCACTACTATGGACTGAGGATCAAATCTGGCTCTCCTCTACTCAGACTCATGGATGAACAACAGCACATGGCGATGAGGCAGCAGCCTTTCTCACAGAAAAACAGGTGTGAGCATGTACCGTTAGCCATTTTGGCTTTATTCTGATTGAAATATAATACTGCATTATTGCAGTGGTTTCCAAAGTGGGGGGACGCGCCTCCTAGAGGGAGTGCCGAGCCATTGCAGGACGGAGGAGTATGAGTGAATTTAAAAAATGAATGCTTGGACATAATGCGCAGGTTTTTGATGGGGCGCCCACATAAACACAGAGCAGAAGATGAAGCATCGGTAAATATGTTTCCAAACCAACTTCCCTCCAAACCAAAGAGTAGAAAATATGACGAAGCATATCTTCCCTTGGCTTCACCTGCTCACTGGTGGGTAATAAGGAGAGACCGTAATGTGTTGCCTGCCTTAAAGTGCTAGCTTGTGACAGTTTGAAGCCTAACAAGCTAAGATGCCACCTGGAGACAAAACATTCAGAGCACAAAGAAACAAAGACAGTTCACTTTTTCCACACAAAAACTCATAAACTGCCGTGCACAACAGTCTCTTTACTAAAGCTGCATTCGTTCCAGCAAATGCTCACTTAAGGGGGGTTCTTATAAACCAAAGCGGAGCCCAGCAGAAAACGTTTGGGAACCACTGCATTATTGTATGTCATCACAGTAAGAATTGGTTTGTGGTGTGTTCAAGTATGTGAAAGTATTTATTTAAATACGGGAACTAACGGTGTTGGTTAACTAAAAAGTAATTGTAGCTGGTTTTAAACACTCCTGGACATATGAATATTACCCACTGCAGAAAGCAGACAGTAATGTTTCAGTCTGTTTGTGCCCATGTGTGTTCATAATGTCTGTAGTGTTAGCAAAACATCTCATGAACCCCTGGACAAATTTGAGTTAAACCCAGAAAATTCATTGGATGTGCATCTACAGTTGATTATTCTGTCAGGTCAGCCCCATTCAAGATGGCCTCCACAATTAACTGAAACATATCAAAAACAAAAATGGCTTTAATTCAGCTATTTTTACAGATACTGAGCTAAAATACATTGTTTTTGTACCCAAAAGTCATTCCCAACACAAACTATGTAGTAACTTATCACGCAAGATCTGGTTTTAAAACTATGCCTGAACTATTGAAATTAGTTGTGCTAGTTTTCAAATGATTTAATGAGCCACTGGTCAGTCAAACTTTCTAGAAGTAATCATTGAATATGCAGCTAAATGTGCTAAATTGAGCTTAATGTCGTTTGGTAGTAACTGAGAGTTAGCCGCTGCACATTCTGAGTGTTAACACATTCTTCAACATCACATCGTTGTGTGTACAGTACCACCATTGACAAGGTTTGACCTGCTCCCAGCTTCCTTGAGTAATGTGCACTCTTTCCAGTAGGATAAAGCCGCTTCAGAAGGCGCAGGGCGTTGCCAATGGGACGTCAGGTGGGCCAGGTCAGCAGCAGGTAGCGGCTCTTGGTGATATTTCAGCCCAGGTTCAACAGTATCAGCAGTTCCTGGGTGAGACACCTTCACTCTGCTTAATTAAAGCCTACATGGTATTACATACTTTTATTAAGTGTGATCTATTTTTATTTTAGCTGTTATAAAACTGAAGCAGTATGTGAGTTTAGGATAATAAACTTATTATTGTTTTTTGTTCTCTGTGTGGTATTCAGCTTACAGTTTATGGCCATTTAGCTCTCTGTAGAGAAAAAAGTACTAAAGATATGAACAGTTTTAAAGATGGGGCATCTGTGAAGAAACTGTGACATTATGTCTTACACTTTATCATCTATAGAGGCATCAAAGCTTTTGCCAAACTTTGTAGAAATGGATCTACAAGGTCAAACCCTGCCCTATGGGATCCTTTTAGAACACGTCAAGGCCTTTCAGAACCTGTACAGAGAACACTGTGAGGTAAGCAGCTGTCAGGACGACTTCATTTCAATACTTCATGTTCTTTTCTGTTACATTTCTAACACCAACAGCACACTTTTGTCTGGAGCTATGCTTTCTTGCAGTGCATATTATTAAACTTTTTGCACTATTTAAATATATATATATATTTAGTGAACATAAAGCATAAAGACCTCCATAACATTATAAATGACCTCCCTCACAGGCTGTCCTGGATGTGATGGTCAACCTTCAGTTCACTCTTGTTGAGCCACTTTGGAAATCCTTCTGGAGGTTCAGTCAGAGCAACGATACAGAATCAGTCAACCTGTAAGTGTCTAAAATATATGTTCATATTCTTATCATCTGATTTACTGCTGTAACGGAAACAAAAAACGCTCTGTTCCACCAGACATAACGAATCAGAGAAACGTCTGCCCAAATCCTGCCTGGTGGCTCTCTGCAAGTTTGAACCAGTTCTATGCTGGACGAAGGAGTGTGACAACCTGCTCTACCAGACGCTGGTGGAAATCCTCATCCCTGACGTGCTCAGACCCATCCCTAGTAAGTTACTTAGTCGTGCAACTGATATGTACAAGTTGACTGAAACCTACACTCAATCTAAACTGAACAAAAATATAAACACAACACTTTTGTTTTTGCTCTCATTTTTCATGAGCTGAACTCAAAGAGCTGAGACTTTTTCTTTGTACTCAACAGGCTTTTTCTCTCAAATATTGTTCACAGATTTGTGCAAATGTGTGTTAGTGAGCACTTCTCCTTTGCTGAGATGATCCATCCACCTCACAGGTGTGTCAGATCAAGATGCTGATTAGACAGCATGATTACTGAGCATATGCCTTAGGCTGACCACAATAAAAGGCCACTCTAAAATGTGCAAATGTGCAGAAAACCAGTCAGTATCTGGTGTGACCACCATTTGCCTCACGCAGTGTAGCACATCTCCTTCACATAGAGTTGATCAGGTTATGGCCTGTGGAGTGTTGGTCCACTCCTCTTCAGTGGTTGTGTGAAGTTGCTGGATATTGTCAGGAACTGGAACACGCTGTCGTATACGCCGATTCAGAGTATCCCAAACATGCTCAATGGATGGCATGTCCGGAGAGTATGCTGGCCGTGCAAGAACTGGGGTGTTTTCAGCTTCCAGGGATTGTGTACAGATCCTTGCAACATGGTGCCGTGCATTATCCTGCTGCAACATGAGGGGGTGGTCATGGATGAATGGCACAACAACGAGCCTCAGGGTCTCGTCACAGTATCACAATATTTGAATAAAATGCACCTGTGATCATTGTCGATAACATACGTCTGCCCATACCATAACCCCACCACCACCATGGGCCACTCACTTCACAACGCTGACATCAGCAAACCTCTCACCCACACAGCACCGTGCATGCAGTCTGCCATCTGCCCTGTACAGTGAAAACGAGAACACCAACATACTTTGTACACCATCGAATGTGAACATTTGCTCACTCAACGCTGTTAAGACGAAGAACTGCAGTCAGGGGGAGTCCCCGATGAGGACGACGAGCATGCAGATGAACTTCCCTGAGACGGTTTCTGACCGTATGTGCAGAAATTCTTTGGTTATGCAAACCAGTTGTTGCAGCAGCTGATCTCATACGATCTTGGAGGTGAAGATGCTCGATGTGGAGGTCTTGGGCTGGTGTGGTTACACATGGCCTGCAGTTGTGAGGCTGGTCGGATGCACTTCCAAATTCTCTGAAACGCCTTTGTAGACGGCTTATGGTAGAGAAATGAACATTCAACTCACGGGCAACAGCTCTGGTGGACATTCCTGCGGTCTGCATGCCAGTTGCACGCTCTCTCAAAACTTCAGAGTAGCCTTTTATTGTGGTCAGCATCTTGATCTGCCACACCACCTGTGACGTGGATGAGTTATCTCTGCAACAAAGTGCTCACTAACGCAGATTTACACATATTTGTGAACAATGTGAGAAAATGTTTCAGATCTTTTGAGTTCAGTTCATAAAAACTGGAAGCAAAAACAAAAGTGTTGCCTTTATATTTTTGTTCAGTAAATGTTATAACATGCTACTGTTACATTACATTTACAGCTATACTATGACAAGTGGAGGCTTCTTCCTCTTCATAATAAAACATTTGAGGCTTTTACATCACCTTGTTATGTTTTACTTATTTTGTCTTAACAACAAACCTCCATCTTCAGGTGCCTTAACTCAGGCCATCCGCAACTTTGCCAAGAGTCTGGAGAATTGGTTGACCGGTGCCATGATGAACATCCCAGAGGAGATGGTTCGCATAAAGGTAAAGGTTTTTATACTTAAATAACAAGTGACACGAGAGCTCTTAACCCATAAATATGCTTCATATTTTGTTAAAAATGTGTTGCTAAAAGTCCCATCATGCAGCAGTCCAGTCAAAAGGGATTTCTTTCCTCACAAAAGAATCCGGTCGCTCTGCTCCTGAAACTGTTTTGTTCTACTTTTATGATTCAGATTGAATTATAGTTTGAATGAAAGTCAATAACATTTGTACCTTTGAAAAACATTTGGCAGTGACGTGTTATATTTTGTGATTCTTGCATGTCTTAAAGTTGAATCGTAAAGGATTATAAAAGATCTTAAACATATCTGACTGAATTGCTGAAACTCTGGGTTAAAGGTGCTTTTCTGTTCCAGATGTGTCCAAACTGTGTTGCAGGTTGTCTTCACACTCATTTTCTCCTTTCACTCCATCCTTCAGGTGGTGTGCGTAAGCTCTTTCTCCCAGACATTGCGTCGCTACACCAGCCTGAACCATCTGGCCCAGGCGGCCCGCGCCGTCCTCCAGAACCCAGCTCAGATCAACCAAATGCTCTCGGATCTCAACCGTGTCGATTTCACCAACGTACAGGTGAGCTGGCCCTACAGTCTGTGTCGACTCCTTCAGTGTGTTACTGTGGCGCTGGACTCTGAGCCCGTGTCCCTCTCAGGAGCAGGCATCCTGGGTGTGTCAGTGTGAGGACCGTGTGGTCCAACAGCTGGAGCAAGACTTCAAAGCTACTCTGCAGCAGCAGAACTCACTGGAACAGTGGGCTACGTGGCTGGATGGTGTCGTCTCCCAGGTCCTAAAGCCGTACGAGCAGAACCCTACAGTCCTGCCCAAGGCTGCCAAAGTCTTTCTGCTCAACTGGTCCTTCTATAGGTATGGGCTAATGGAAAGAAGTGATGTAATGTTTGATGTGGTTTAAATGAAGATCCAAGTTTTAAATCTCTCCTGCTCTCTCTCACCAGCTCCATGGTGATCCGGGACTTGACCTTACGCAGTGCTGCAAGTTTTGGCTCCTTCCACCTGATCCGCTTGCTGTATGACGAGTACATGTACTACCTGATCGAACACAGGGTGGCCAAAGCTAAAGGGGAGACACCGATAGCAGTTATGGGAGAAGTATGTACTCGTGTGTTTCTCTGCTCTCAGAGCACAAGCTGCGTTTCATATTTGAATTTGTCGTCTTTGTTGCAGTTTGCCAGCAGTGTCAAGAGCAGAAACTCCCCAGACCTGGACAAAGGTAAAGGGGGGGTACACCTCTCAGACTTGTTCAGTTGTTCCGTTATGAGATTACGTACTGTCACGTTGCTCCCTACATCAGAGGAAGAGGAGGATGACGAGGAAGAAGAGAGCGAGGAGGAAAGCGGAGAGATCATGCTGCAGTCCAGCTCTCTGAGCAAGGTCGACGACGAGAAGGACGTGATGGAACCGCCCGCCAAGCAGCCCAGGATCAACTTAAATCTGCACACTATGGCCGAGAGCCACAGCCCGTCGCAGTAACAGATGATCAGGATGACTAACGCGCTGCGCTTTAAATTCAGCTTCTCGTCCTGAAACAATCACGTCTCTCTGTTTGCTTCTAATGGGTGTAAATCATGAGAGAAAGTGGAAGAGCCTTCACTTATTTTTATACTGTTTCTGCACTGCCGTTCCTTTTCTTTGCCTTCATTTAGTCCTTCCCTGATTCTCTGTGCCTTCTCCTTCTGTTCGGTGCCCACGCTCATCCACACTAAAGTCAGATCTCGATTTTCCCTCTCACCCCGCCTTAATCACCGACCTGACTGCTGTCGAGAAATGAGCAGTCCCGTGTTCCTTATCGCCCTCTTGAACTCAAACAACAACTCTGGTATTGTCTTCAATGACATGACTGTGCATGAGCAGAACATCAATGATCGACAACAGTCAGAACATGTAGGAGTAGCTTCAGGAATTATACCGCACCAGAGTTCTTGGCACATGGGTGATGACTGTGGATGTTTTACTTTAATTATAATTTGTTTTCATTTTGGCCAACTAACTGATAATCTGTGCCTTTGAGTGATTTATAACCTGTATTTACAAATATATATATTCTGTCTGGGTGGATTAATAATATGAATATTATGTGAAGTAATTTTGGTGTTGTCACAAACTTATAGTAACTGTAAAAAACTGTACAGTTGCTTCATTGTGATTCTGCTGTTTGTGTTTAATCTACTACAACATGCAGTCTTGTTTTTATATGCAACCCTCCACGTATATTTTCCAAGATGATGTGCAGCTTGGTGAGCCGCAGCACAAGGCCAAAGCTTATCCCACCTATTCAGGAGCGTCTGCTCAGCTGTATCCATAGCAACCTTTGCACCAGCTACAAACATCGCAAAGTTTTTGCAGAGATAAAAGTAATGTTTATTTTCGGAGTCGTTAAGTTGAACATACTGTGGACGACCTATATCGTGTATCGCTTATATATTTCTATGTTGTTTAACCGTTACAGCCTTAAAATGTCCTAATGTGCACGTTTATTTTTTAAGTGATGCTGGCCTAAATGTAATTATGTTGACGCTCAGTCTCCCCCCTGCCCACCCCCCCTTTATAAACCACATGATCTACCAGCACTTGGCAGGAGCAAAGCTGGTTATATTACAGGTTTTACTTGAGACAAAGTAAAAAGTATATATAAAGTATTATAGTTGTAGTGGATGTCTCTCAGGATCAGCTGTTTACAAGATCCCACCAAAGAGTATATAAGGTGTCTACATCGATCCATGAATGATGAACATCTGACTTTAAACTATATTAGATGTCAAAAATTATTTTCATTTTCCCTTGCTTGTATTGGAGAACATCTTTCTAGAATGTGTCTTTTTGATGTCATGCTAAAGAACTTTGTACTGAATTGTGACTGTAGCTTCAACCTGTCGACTAAAGAGCTGCTCCAGAGACCGTGTGTGTGTGGGATCACTCCTGCATCTGCCACCCAACACTCATCCATTCACTTGTTACACCTCCACTGCTCTGGTTTTTATTGAACAATTTTTTTTCATGCCAGTCTACATATTCAAAAGGTTTGAAAAATAAACTGGACTTCTAATCTTTAATTGAAGATGTAGGAAACATCTTCCAACTACAGATTGGATCATTAGAAGTCCATGTTTTTGGATTTGCTGCACCCTTGATGACAGAGAACCCACACCAGTCTGTTCAGACTTCATCTTTAAACATTCATCCATTTTCTTTACCTGCTTTTATATTTTGGATCAGCGTCCATCTCCAGCAGTCAGTGGGTGGTGGGGTGCACACCACAGGCTTCTTTAAACATCAGATTTTTTTTTTGGTTACGTTTTTAATTTTTTTAAAATATTGACAAATTCCTCATTATGCCAGAACAGGTGAGCTCTTACATTGATTACAAAATGTTATCACTGTTTAAGATGATTTTTAATCTGTATGAAATTCTCCATCTTCATCTTCTGCTGCTCATCAGTGGTCAGGGCGCAGAGGCAACAGGTCCAGGACAGAAATCCAGGCATCCCTCTTCCCAGAGATGTTCCAGCTCTGCCTGGGGGACCCTGAGGTGCTCCCAGGACAGAGAAGACGCACAATCCCTTCAGCAAGTTCTGGGTCTACCCAGAGGTCTTATCAGTGGGACATGCCCAGAAAGCCTAAGAGACGTTCTTCCAGATGCCCGAACCACCCCAAACTTCCCGCAGATGACAGAGCTCATTTCGGCCATTTGTATCCAGGATCTCGCCCTTTTTGTCGTCGTCCAAACCTCATGACCTTAGTGACCTTTTCCAACCGAAACAACCTCATTATTGAGGACGAAGCGCCCAATCCATCGATCCAACCCCACCTGAGGAGCTGAGTAAAGTTGAATCAAATTAAAAATTCTAATAGCATTTGATCTTTTTATTTTAACAAAATATTCCCAGTGGAACAAAGTTTTCCAATCAAATCAACAGAAAACAACGACCTTCAAAAACAAGTGATTCCAGCAACTCTTCCTTTATGACAAGTTCAAACTATCCAAGCAGACCTGAGCTCACCTCGTTTTAAATACAGCAGCCCAGCAAATCCACAAAGCTGGACTGAACTGGTTCAAAAGCAGCACAACGTGTCCCTTTATTACACAACTCACCCATTCATCCACATAAAAATACACTGAGTGAACACATTAGTATAAACGCTGTTACACACAGACACCTCAAGTTTGTATTAAAAACACTGAATTTCTGTTCAGTCCAGCTTTTTGGTTTGGTAGTTGCAATAATACAGCACAGAGCGACAAAAGTTATATGATTTTTATTTTTACAGCATTTCTGCTAAAGCATTTTTTTATTTAGTTTTATGCATTTGTTTAATTACGCCTTCTGATTTAAGCTGGTCTTCACCGAGAAAGAGGTCATGTTTGGTCACCTTTTTGTTCTTCATAACACAATCCAGGTGCAGCGGTCACTATCTGCCAACACCTGCAGCGATGAACCTAACGATGAAAAGTAGATTTGAATTAGGTGTTTGCAAACGACTCAACTCAAAAATACATTATTTAAATCTGCGGATCCCAACCCTGGTCCCTGAGGAACACCATCCTACATGTTTTAGTTGTTTCCCTGCTCCACACACCTGATTCAGTGGCTACCTCATCAAGTTCTGCAGAAGTCTGTTAATCACTCATTCATTCAAATCCAGTGTGTCAAAGCAGGGAAATAACTAGAACATGTAGGATGGTGTTCCTCAGGGACCAAGGTTGGGAACCGCAGATTTCAAGGGTGGGAAACTTCAAACTGTCTGACTACATTTGTCGTCGACCTCTTTGTACGCTCACCTTTGTGCAGAGCTTCGTTGGTCATGCGATTGATGTGGCGGGAGCTGCTCTCGGGAATCAACCACTTCATCACCGTGTTCACGCAGGACTTTCTGTAAGAGCTCCACACGCTCCCACTGACAGCGAGACAGGAATCAGCACATCTGTTCACAGCTTAATGAGTCACACACGTGTGTGAGATCCCTGCTCACCTGGTCTGACCCTTGACCTCTGTCAGGTCACCTACACCCACAGTACAACACACTCCTGTGTTAAGGTCCCAGCTGACCTGCAGATTAGAATGGTACGTGTTTGGCCTGAAAAAGGAAAAACAATTTTAAAAAGGCAATAAATAAAAAAAAACAAAGCTGCGTCAGCAAATGTTTTTGTAAGACTGAAAGTTTTGAGTAATTGAGTTAGCTTAAAAAGGTTAAATAAATGAAGGAATAAACGGGGAACAAGTACCTGCAGTGCTCTTCATCTGAGACAGAAAACGCCAGCAGCAGCAAACCGATGTTGATCATCACGGTGTTTGTCTCTGGACACACCTGATGTACAAACAATAAATCACTGCCAGGTGAAGAACATAAACATCTTTACTGCCTTTCTGTAAATATGTTTCAGCAGGATGTCCAGCAGGGCAGGACTCAATCATCAACAGCTAAAGGTCAGTTTTGTTATGTTTAAAAAATATGACAGAATATTAAAACATTCACAAGGTTTCTCTACACATTTGTTTTAAAACACCAGATTTTCACATTTGAGCACAACTGAACATTTGAATTGTTTTACTACGGTTATGTTGACAAATATATGCCAGAAAGAGTTTTTCTGGGAATTCTACCAACAAATCAACTACACCAAGCCAAAGTAGTTTTTTTATTCAAGCTACGAGCCCCGAGCGTTCTACTGTTACTGTACAATAGAACTAAATAATAATTATTATTCATCTTTAAACACAGTTTTACTCATTTTCGCATCATTCAGACAATAAAACTCTAAGGACACTGAGCTTTTGACTCGTGTGAAAATAATTAATAGTCAGTTGTAATGAAGAATGATTAAAGGAAGTGTGTGTGGTGTGTGTGTGTGCATTTACCTCTAGTATCACAACATCATAATCACTGAAGGAACAAAACTGTGGAGCCCAGGCAGCGTCGCTCCTGATGACCTCGTTGATAAGATACTCAAAATCCAGAGTCAGCTGTTCTATACACACACTCTGCAAGAGAAAGAGCGATAAACCTGATGGCTGGGACACAAAACACCTCAACAGTCTCTGAGGACACTTCTGTCACCATTAGTTTTGGTGATCTGTGCTGGCAACGAGTCAAAATGAAAAATGTTTCAATATTGAGTTATTTTTAACGACCATCTTAGAAGCTTCAAAATGATAAGTTTGTTGAAACTGACAGCTTTATTGGTCCAATCCTGTTCTTCGAGGGCCACAATCTTGTTTCAATGCTCCAACACGCCTGATTCAGTGGCTGAATCTCTTCAGGTTCTGCAGAAACCCATTTTTCACCCCCTGGTTTGATTCAGGTGTGTTGAAGCAGAGAAACATGTAAAACATGCAGGATAGTGGCACCCAGTGGATCAGGACTGGACGGACACCTGGACAGACGGACACCAGGACGGACGGACACCCGGACGGACGGAACCCACCCACCCACCCATCCATCCATCATCTTGACCCGCTTCTTCCTTTTTGGATCACGGGGTCACTGGTGCCCATGTCCAGCAGTCACTGCAAGAGGCAGGGGACACCAAGGACAGGTCTCCAGTCCATCACAGGGACACATAGAGACAAATGAGACAAACAACCATTCACTCTCTCACTCACACCTAGGGACAATTTAGAGTTACCAATCAGCCTAACATGCATGTTTTTGGTCTGTGGGAGGAAATCCCACTACCTGGAGAAAACCCACATGCACAGAGAGAACATGCAAACTCCACCCAGAAAGGCCCCCCAGCCGGGATTTGAACTGGCGACCTTCTCGCTGAGAGGCAACAGATCTACCAACTACCACCGTGCTGTGACTGGACACCCCAGTCTAGAATTGTGTCATTAGGAATTTAAGCCCTATATCTAATAATAAGGGGGTAGGGGTGTCCTCAAGCTTCATAATGATGCCAAACATTATATGAAGGGATTTCCCAGCAGAGAAAAATAGTCCCATTTCAAAGGAAACTAGAGGATTAGATATAAAACAGATTATTTCTGAAGACGTGCTTTCTTTGATTTACAAGCAGATTATATGCTTTGTTAGTTAAGGTATCATTTGTTCCAATTATGACAAACATTTTCTATAATTTTGCACTGCAGCCTGTGCTCATTCACTCATTTTGTCATCACGGGTCACATTTCCCATTAAAAACTGTGATATACACCATTTAACCAGATGAGAATGAGAAATAACTTAACAAGGCTGCTGCTGTAGATGAGGGTTGTTGCTCTTTATAGAAGAAATAAAGAAAGTGCTATGTGTTGTCATCATTGTATATTTCTATACAATGATGAAATTAGTTCTCTGCATTTAACCCATCACACGTGAGACACACGCAGGTGGAGCAGCGGGCAGCTACGCAAGCGCCCCGAGAGAAGGACAGAATTTTATTTGCCTTAAGAAAATGGTTAGAGTTCCTCTACTTTGTATATTTCAGAAATTACACATTTTCCCAGACTCTTTTTGCTTTCAGTCAATGTTGGGCCATTTTTAATGTCTTAACATTTACAATAAATTAACTGTAAATATTTCTTATTAATAAACTCCATAAAACAATGAAAACCTACAAACTGAAAAAAGAAAAAGTTAATTATTTTCTTAATAATTAGTTTGTGGTCTTATCAGTAGTATTTAATTCAACATGTTGCCCATTCTGTAAAATCGTGTTCTCGTTTAAAGTAAAACAGATAATTTGAAATGTTCTTGTGAACTGGGATTACTTGGGACAAGTTGCATGTGAAACAACAAATGATCTGCACATATATTTATATTCACATTCACACACAGCTGTCCTGCTAAGTGTTGTTGTCAGAAACTCAAAAACTAAGATAGTGTCAGGTAAAATGTTATTTTTAAGCAGTGATGTGGCAGACGGACCGCAGGGGGATGTCCAGCTTTATTACAAAATGTATATGAACATCTGATTGTTTGACAATTACTGGTAGATATTTTAACAAAAATCTAAATTAGGGAATATAATTTGGAAACATGCTATTCTATTCACAATATTATTTTATTCGTATGTATCTACACCAGGAAAATACTAAAATCACATTTAGGACATTTGATATATTTTCTTAATTTGTGTTGATGTGACTGATGAGTGTATGGTAAATATCAAGGTGCAAGTTTTCCCAGCAGAATGTTGCGTACAAATAAAACAAGCAGTGCTGTTCACTGTACCTGTCAGCAGTCTTGGTGTTATGGATGATTGTGTACATCGTAAAATCAAAGTAAACATTTACCTGTCCGTTATGTGGTTCAGTAACCAGCTGCAGGTTCCTTCCTTTCAGATCTGTGACAGTGAAAGGGAGCTGGGCTTTATCATCTTCATAACCTAAGAAGAAAAAAATACATAAATAAACACAAACAGCTTTCATGGGGTCAAATCTAAGGTTATGGTCTCGTCTGTCCACCCGTAAGGTTTTAAATGTATCTTCAACTCTCTGACCTCCAGCGCCTCCTGAATTCTGCTCTGCTGCCCCTGGCTGTTGTAGGCGGTAGTGCAGGCGTGAGTAGTTCACATATCCAGGTTCGTTGGGACCAACATCATGGCAAGACAACTGAATCGAAGTTGATGGAAGTGATATTGGAGAAGAGGCAGGAGAGATGACTTGTTCAGAAGAAAATCGTGGAGCACCAAAGCATCTATTCGATGCTGTTGACGTTTGTGGTGAACTAGTCTGTCCGTCCTCTGTACTAGTCTCTTTATGATCCTCCACTTCTCTTGAAGTCTCTACATTTACTTTATCGCCTGGTTTATGTGCGGCCCCTTTTACATCACCGCCGGCTGTTCTCTCCACATGTCCCTCCCCGTTTTTCCCTCCACCTCCTTGAGCTCGCCTGAAAAGGTCGGCGGCAAACTCCCGAGCTCGCATGGCTGCTTGTGAATGATTCGGCGATGAGGGAATCGGAGGGGGCCTGGAAGGAACTTGGCGATTCTCTGGAGATCCCTGAGGTAGTGAGGAAGGAACCAGGGAAGTTGAGGAAAAAGATGCTGAGGCTTGAGTTGACTGGGCTGCTCCCTTGGTGTAAAGAATCTGTGAAGACTGACCTTGATTTCCTGCCAAGAACACGTGCAAAGAGTTTATATAGTAATGATGACGATACAAGGAGACAAAAGCATAAGCATGATAAGACAATGACATTTTCAGTTTGGTTTGAATGTTACCTTGCTGACAGATTAGGAGGACATTTTCAACCTTCCTTTAGAAATCATTTTTAAGTGGTTAAATATTTCAGATAAACATCACTGCCATTGAAGAATATAGAAGTCCCTCGCTACTTCGTCTTTCATGGACTCGCTCTTTCGCTGTGTTTCCAACGTAAGATTGTACATGACACGTGAATGTCATCTGTAATATTACTCACGTGATCGAGATGGTACGGGATAATAAGTTTAAAAAAATAAATAAAAATGGACAAGTGCTGTCATTTTGTAGTTTTCTTTCAATAAGCCTACATTGTAACTCCAGTCAAAAGAACTACATTACCCAGAAGCCAACAGTGCTTCCAACTGTTGCTTTCTGCTGAAATGGGGGTATTGCTTTGCAGCGCAAATGTATGCTATATATGAAGCTCACAGAACTGGCAGAAAAGTCACAAATAATCCAGAAGTTTCCTGAAGCTCAATTATCCACGCACACATCAACCTGGACGGGGCGGTGGGCTTCATCGCTGCAGGGTAGGTCTGCTGAATCAGGGCTGAGCCCGACCAGAACCGAGCTGCTGTTCTGCAGCTGGTGAGTAAAATTTTGCAGAACTGTACAATACATGTACGCATGTTGTTAAAATTACGTAGGTTCAAGAGTTTAAAACATTGCAAGAGTGTGGGATGGGTTTATAAAGCCTTAAAATATATATAAATACTAAATATAGTGTTCCTACTTCACGGTTTTTCACTTATCACGGTGGTGTGTGGAACGTAACCCCCGCGATCATCGAGGGACTACTGTACATTCTTTTCTACTGCTGAAAACACATTTCAGTTTCAACTTTGTTCAGTCAGTGACAGAAAAATAGCAATGAGGCGTGCACCAGGTCAGAGAAAAACCATAAGGGCTGATCTGTTGCTTCTAATGTTCTTTTTAAACAAACAAACAAAAAAAAAATACATGCACATAAAATCAAAATAAACTAATTTTTAACTTCATGAATGGTTGTTTTGTCAGATGATAGGGTGGGATAATAAAGCAAGACTACTCGACTGCTTTCCAGTGAGTTTTCTGCTTGTTTTGCTGCGTGAATAAGATATTGAGAATTGAACTCATCCGATTTACAGATATGTGATAACAGATTATTTAGATCAAATGTTGTGCCTGATCTTTCACCAACCCATCTCCTGACTGTCCACCTCCATGGTCACCTATAGCAACATTTCTGAGTACACGCAGTCTTTATAAATCAGCCTAAGATGATTAGGCTCCGGTGGGTGACCCGTAAACAACTGTGCTTGTCGAGGGGTAAAGTTCGGATAAAAAAAGCCGGTTTAGGTTAGTTAGGAATTCGAGGAGATTGGTCAGTTTGTTTGATATGTCACACAACTGGTCTGTTTTTAAATGCTTCAGTAAAACTGCACAAACTGGCTTTTAATGTTTGCCATAATGGTGGAGCTCAGAGAGCCTCGTACTTTCTGAGGTTGCACTCATGAAAAGTTGGAGAACCAATGTGTTGGTGTGTTACCGGGGCAAAGTGAGATGGCACAGGCCACCAGAGAGTAGCTGGTGTTCAACAGGATGACCTGGTCCTTCTTCAGCTGAAAAGCTGGCTGAAAAGTGGGGAATGGGTACACCACCTGGTACCTGCTGTTGAGCACATAGCCATGCTCAAGACACTCTCCACTTCCTGAGGAGACAAAAATACGAGCTTGGCGAAAAGAAAGAGGCAACGTGACAAAGTGACCCTGCATGTCCGTTTACCTGTACGAATTGTTGTGACCGAGGGATTTGGACTGCAGTAAGAGCAAGGTTTTGGTGGAGGCATGGACGCTATGGTGATGTAGATGTCTCTGTTGTTCTCATCGCTCATCATTAAGTTCATGAACACAGAACTTGGACTGCGTGTACTAGGAGAAAAAATACATTTACCTACTATACACTGAAGTGAACATTTTCTAAGTGAAAGTAGTTTTGCATGTTTGAGTTAGGTCTTACTTGAAGCCAAAAATAACTATTTTAGAGTGGTCATTTGGCCATTCGCACACAGTGAGGTACAAATCACTGTATATTTCCTCCCCTGCAAATAACTGCACATGATGAACCTAAAGACAAGACAAGATACCCATCAAACACCTGTACAACAAAAATACATACAAGATCATTAAATCTCAGAATAAAATACACTTCTGTGTTTACCTGTTTGAGTCTACTATGCAGATTAAACTCCCACCAATAAAGATGATAGGTATAGAAAGAAAAATCATCATCTTCTCCACAATCGCTAGTGTAAGACAGAACGTAGCGGCCACATTTTGTGAAGCCTAGAAATATGTGTCTGGAAGCAAAGAAACAGAAAGTACTGCTGTAATGGGCAATGTTGCACAAGTTAGATCATCCTCGTAAATCAAAATCACAATGTACAGCATGAGACCATTTTAATTTGTGAATGTAAACATGATCTCTTATGGTTAGTTTCCAAAAATAACCCCTGGCAAAAAAATATTGAATCACCATCTTGAAGGATGTTATTGTAAATTTTTATTTTTGCATATTATATATATAAAGATAAATCAGTCTTGCCACAAAATTATTATTTAAAATTCCAACATTCTGGCATTAAAGAATAATTAAAAAAATATTTAATAAATTATTTTTATCAAATGGATGAAAAAAGGGTATCATTCAATTACAAATACATGGAATGGTTATTACTTTGTTGCACCGCTATCTTGAATTGTCCGAGGCATGGACAGTCTATGATTGCTTTTCTGTAGCCCACAGTCCTCTTGCTCTTTTCTGTTTAGCTGTTAAATATGCCGTTTGTTTGGTTTTTCAGAATCAGCTTTATTGTCATTGCACCGAAGCACAATGAAATTACATTTCAGAACAGCCTGTCCAAGTAAAACACAAACAGACATGGGGAGACGGAGGTGTCTGAAGCTGCGGCCACAAGGGAGGCGCTGCCCTTTTCATTTAGTCCACAGACGTCCATTTCCTGTACATAAATCTCTCTTACAGTTTGGTCACAGACTCACTAGTTTCCGTCCTCTTGTTTCTCATGGTTTTATTGTGCATTTTCTGTCAGACATTTTTGCTTCGAGTTTTCTATCTTGACGCTTTGAGGTGTTCCTCGGTCGACCATTTGATCTGTATTTGGTCCAAATTTTAGCCACAGCTGACAGGGAACAAACATATTTTGCAACATTCCTTGATGATTTACCTTCTTGAAGAAAGTTCATAATCAGCTCCTTTGTTTCAACCGATATCTCTCATGTCATCCACTTTGTACATCGGCTCTCCTAAGTGTAGCACATTTTAACTGGACTAATAAAACAGATTTAGAATTAGTGATTCCATATTTTTTGTCAGGGGGTTGTCCATTCTTGATGGACAGTCCCATCAGATTGATCCCAAGGTTATGACTGAAATGTAATTAGATCCTTAATTTAATCACATCAAACCCATCCAATGAAAGCATACAAACCCTGCTCTCAGGAACTCCGCACTGACGATGTTCTTTAATGGGACACACACCCGAGGTGGAAGCTTCCGAAACAGACGCTGGGAATACTGTCCTGACAGCTGCACGACAGACACCAGGAAGAAGACAACATAAATATTGTGCTTTTCCAGTGGCAATCCTAAATCGGGGCCAAATACATCATTATTACTAGTGTCTGGAAACAGTACATGTACTCCAGTTGTGTGTAACTAAGTGGTTGGCTCGTGTGCAGCAAACTACTCCTGAGCTACAGCAAAAGCCAACTGTGCATTGTTTAAGCACGACTAAATATTTCACTACGCTGTCATCGTTCAGTTTAAATAAAACGTGTGAGGAACAAAACTTCAGCTTTAACTGTTCACGTAGCTAATTAGCCACCTGCAGCCGTTGGGTGTTACAGTACTAATAAGCCGATGAGCTAGTTAGCAGCTAGCTAATGGCTAGCCCCGAAAACAAGGAGTTCGTACCTAAAGCTAATAAAACTAGTTCAGGGACTGCGTTTCAAGTTTACATTTTGTAGGTTTATACTCGCCTTCCCGCGTGCTATAAGTTTCACAACATGGTCCTTATGCTTTTTGAGAGTTTTCTGTTTATCGTCCTTTTCAGATTTCGAGCTGGGCGCCATCTCCCTCTGTGCCGTTGTGCCCCGTTTAAGCCGGACACGTTCTGATTGGTTCTCGGACTGTACAGCGCTGCACTCATTGGCTGGTAGAGACGTCAATCAAAACCAAAACAAAAGGCAGGGCTCAACACTACATGCCAGGCAGGAGGCATTTCAGCACAATTAGTTAATGTGAAAGCAGCCAGGCCAAAGAAGCTGGTATAATATGAATGTTTTTATTGAAGTATTTAAAAACAAATTGTAAAAAAAAAAAAAAAAAAAACATTAAAAAAAATAAACGAAACCTAAAGCAAGCGAACAAAGAACAAACAACAAAAACAGGGCAGCCAATCACACAGATGCATAAATCTACACACAACCAACCTACATATACTGTAGTAGGATAATTAGTGCCTAATTACAGCCACCGTGTACACATTTTTCTGCTTAGTAGCATAAACTGTATACAAACACATAAGACCTCCCTTGAGAAAAAAAAAAAGACAAATAATGAAATTAAGAACTGACAGAGCAGTGATAAATCCACCTGCAGTTAAACAGTGAAAAAGAAAAAGTACCAGGAAAACGTGTTTGCGATCATCTTTCATACAACCATAGTTTTTGATTAAATTCAAAATACTGCAAGACATTTATTTTTGCCCTTTCTGAAAGCTGAAGGGAAATACTGAATGAGTCAGTATTAAGAAGCTGTTCTTGTAGCTTGCAAACAAATTTGCTCATTTACATTTTATTTAGAAAGGACAAAATAAAATCTTAAAAACAATTAGATGAATTATATGGTGTGAATGGATGGAGTAAAGGGGAAACAGAAAATTTACAAGGGGAGGTATTAGTGCTTTGTTCCCCTTCTCTTTCTCTTCAATTCTGACTTTAAAAACAAATAAACCAGCAGTTTTAAAGAAACATATCTCGGTGGATGAGCAAATTATAGTCTTGCCTTGTTAAAGCCAAGGGGGGGGGGGGAGAAAAAAAAACAACATCCTGAGATCCTTTACATCCGTCCAACAGGTCATTGTGTTTACTGGGGCTGGAAAGAAACACCACAGACAAAATGTGATTAGTTCTTTAGTTCTCATTTCATATGAATAAAATATACTGATAATTTGTTTTATTTATTTATTGTTTTAAACTACTTTCAACAAAAAAAACACGAGTGTGAAAATGTCAAATGTACTTTTCCAAGTGCAAATCAAACGTAAAAAAAAAAAAAAGAAAAAAAAAAATCACATCCAACTGGGGTTGTAATGGGCCAGAATATTTCTGGTAAATTTCCAGAAACTCTCCATGGGAAGTTAAGCTGGGGGATTTTGGACATATTCACAAATTGAAACCTCCTTTCAATCGATCTAAAACACGTCTGCGACGCTAAAAGACCTCAGAGCTTAATTTTTTATTTCCTTTCTAATGTCATCATCATTTTATTTGAACACGTTCATAAACAGGATATATAGTAGTCCCTCGCTACTTCGCGGTTCGTTTTTCGCGGTCTCGCTCTATCACGGTTTTTCAAAATAAGATTGGACATGACACACAATTGGCTGATTGATGGATGAGCCGCATGATTGGCATAAAATTTTTATTTAAGATAAAGTATTTTAAATTATTTAGCACTTGTGTGCAGCCTACATCAGCAGGAGAAGCTTCCTCCTGCAGCGCGTCATATCTCTGCTCTGCAGCAGAGAAGTGGGCGTGGCCAAGAGCGCTGGGCAGGTGGCAGGGAGCTGAAATCAGGACATTCTGTGCTCTTTTAAAGCGTTTAGACTTTAGAAACATTGTTTAGAATATTGCTAGAGTGTGGGAAGGGTTTAAAACGCCACACATACATACATACATACATACATACATACATATATATATATATATATGTACTAAAATAAACTACTACTTGTACTACTATTCCTACTTTGCAGTTTTTCACTTATTGCGTGGCTTCAGGGTACGGATCCCCCGCGATAAACGAGAGACTACTAACTCAAATAAATGTGAGTCTGCTGTAGGGGATGTGGATCAACACAAATATTGACATTATAGATACCACCATTATGCAGTTTACAGCTTGAAACCGAATATTTTCAGACGCAGAGTAGAAGTCCGGCTACTTCGTCTTATTTATTTTCAATTTTTTAGATTGCATTGTCCTGGCTGACTGAGAATCTACAGCAACATATGACACTGATGTTGGTGTTGGGTTGTATCGATAGTAGCGTGATGGGATGGATACTTGAGTTTCTTTCTCTCTTCTACTCTCATCCAGTCACTTCTGTTCAAGAAGTGCAATTCTGCATTCAAGTAGAAAGAAAGCAGCAAGATCGAATGTAAACACTGGACAAAACAAGCATGGCAGCAGTAGTCGCCCAGAAGTGCGTCAGACACGCATGCCAACGCGTGGTGTCCATATTTACTTCTGTAAACACAGCGTGCTGCGTGTGACATGTCTTCTGTTGCACATGCAAGTCACTTCAGGGCCGTGAACTGTTCACACTGAAGTCTGATGACGGTCTCATTTAAATTATAATGTGAACGGCCACACAAAAGTTGGAATGGAGCAGTACGCCCAGTGTGAACACAGCCATAGATATATTAAAGTATACTTGTGTGAAATTCAGTTGTTTTCGTTAAGAAGATCAACATGTTTTCTCTAACTATATTTAAAATCTCTGTTAAGGGCCAACTCTCAATATTTTTAATTCCAGGCTCCAACTTGGACGACAAGGTGGCTCAGTTGCCTCTCAGCGAGAAGGTTGCCGGAATGAATCCCGGCCGAGGACCTTTTTGGGTCGCGTTTGTTCTCTTTGTGCATGCGTGGGGTTTCTCCCAGACCAAAAACACGCATGTTAGGCTGATTGGTAACTCTAAATTGTCCCTAGGTGTGAGAGAGAGAGAGAGAGTGGATGGTTGTTTGTCTTGTTTGTCTCTATGTGTCCCTGTGATGGACTGGAGCCTCTTGCACAGTGACTGCAGGATATGGGCACCAGTGAACCCCACAAGGATAATGGGTGGATGTTTCCAACTTTGAAAATTCCTGTAAACGTGTACCCTTACATCCATCTAAGTCCAGTTGTTTCTTTGCAAACAGTGATTCTCCAAGAATTTATGTCAAATCAACCATCTGAAATAAAATACCTTTTCGTACTAGTAGTCAAAATCTTACTTTACACAAAGTCTGTAAAAACAATAAATAAATAAAATTCTAAATTCGGACATCTTAGTGGCTACCAGGTTCGTTATGGTACCTGTTGTCCCGGCTGTGGAGCGGCTGCTTGCCCAGGAGCCTGGCCTGCCTGTCCATAGTAGGCGGCCTGCTGTCTGTAATACTCAGCCCAGGCTGCACTGTAGTCCTGCTGCCCGCCAGCAGCAGCTCCACCTGCTGCAGCTGCTGAGGGTGCTGCTGCTGCTGTGCCTGGAGCAGCCGCTTGCCCCCCCGCTGGCTGAGCTAAAACAAACAAAAAAAACAACAAAAATAAATAAAATACAGATGTAACCAGTGTACTACAATGAAAAGAATTAAAAGTGGCATATAAAATTGCTACTAGATATATCATCCAATGGTTGAGGGTCATTTAACGTTTATAATTAATAATAAATATACTATACTTCATATCAGGAAAAAAAAACCCTGAACATACTGAAACCTGAGCCCACTGCGATACACCTCAAGCTGGGATGTTAAATACAGTAAACGGTAAAATTCAGAGGCTATCAAACACTTTTTTTTTTCATTCAACCTTTATTTAGACGGATAAATCCCATTGAGCCTCGAGGACTCATTTATAAGAGAGACCTGAGTTCAACAAAGAAAGATGAAAAAAGTGGACAAAAGGAACAACAATAAACAATTATAAAGTCACAGATTTTTTTTTTTTTTTAACAAATAGGATGGCAAAAAAAAAAAGTAACAAAAAACAGCTAGATTCTAAGGCGAATGTCAAAATTTCATTTGTGTGAGTGTTCAGAGCCAGCTTACTCATGCCCATCTTCTTATAATATTCCTCCCAGGCCTTTGAATAGTCAGGCTGACCCCCACACTGCTGCGCTGCTTGGCCCTGGTCCGGTGCTGCTGCAGCAGGAGCACCTGGAGCCTGACCTGCCATGGCGCCCCCTGGCTGTTGGCCATAGTACTGAGCGTAGTATGCAGCCCACGCTGCGTTCGGGTCTCCTGCAGCCTTATCTGAAGCGAGGAGAGTGAAGCACAGGGGTTACAGTAAATAAGTGTTGAAATGAAAAGGGGGAAAAATAAGAAAGTGAGCATCCAAATATGAAACTCACTGGGGTCATGTGGATTTGGAGTTTGCCACTGTTGGTAAGCATTTCCCCAGCTCTGGGGAGCATATTGGGGACCACCAGGTGGTGCCCCGCTGCAATAAGGAACAAGATCATTTCAGTTTAAGGCCCAAGTCAATTTACATTAAATAAAAACTTAAGATTGCTGCTCTTCTTATTCATTAGTACTTACTGTGGACCTCCACCGGGTGGTCCTGCATTATAAGGGTTAGGATTATAGGGACCCATTGGACCTCCAGGACCTCCTGGACCTCCAGGACCTCCTGGACCAGGGCCACCACCCAAAGGACACAAAGGAGCCTGAAAATAAATCAGAGGAAAAATAATTTGGACCACCTGGAAGCCATTTTAAGCTGGTACCGCTTCTCTTCACCATGTCACTTGAACGCACCTCAATTTTCTCTTCTATGAGCTGTTTTGCGTGGTCTATTTGTTGTGGGGCCCCCCTGATGATGAACAGCTTGAAGTTCGGGTCACCGTTAGGCGGCGGCTGACGAGATATCTCAACAAACGCTCCGGTTTGTTGGTTGATAGCCTTGACGTTCTCTCCTCCTCGGCCAATGACGAGTCCACATTTGTGTGCAGGGATGGAGAAGGTCATCTCTCCTCCCGGAGGGCCCCAGTTGCCCTGGCCTCCACCCCGCCCTCGGCCTCCAGGTGGCATTCCTCCACCTGGGGGTCCCTGTAAAAGAAAAAGGCGTACTCCCAAAGGTTAATTCATTTCTCCTTGAACAATATAAAACAGTAGAAATGACATTTAGCTGTTGACTCTCACTTACGCCTTGCCCGCCATCATCTCGGGTACGGATGCTCTGCAGCAGTTCAGTGATGATGGAAGCAGCATGCTGACACTGGTCTGGGGGGCCCATAATATGGGCAATCTTTTCAGGACTCGTGCCGTCATCTGTGACGCATTACAAAAATAACATAATTATTAATGACAGGCTACAACAAATGAAAACAAAACATCAAGACTCTGTTGCACCAGTCTGTATGAAGTTTACCTGGTTTAAACTGTATCTTCACTCCAGCATCACTCTGGATCTTTTTGATCATCTCTCCATTACGACCAATCACGACTCCCACAGACTGCCGGGGCACAGCTACCTGTAAAATTATAAAGGATCTGGTGACTTCTCAACCATTGTCAAGTCCACAAGAGTTCTGAAAACTTTCAGCTGTAACTGCGCTGCTCACATTAAAATAAATAAGTTAAAAACTACGTAACTTACCTCGATGCCGCCACGTCCTCCCATCCTTGACCCGTATTCGTTCTTTTCTCCAAAGCCGGGACGATCCCTTTCTCGTAGGATTTCATTAACCATCTCCATTGCTTGCTACAAAAATAGCACAAACGAGATATAAAAAAAAGAAAGAAGCTTCAGGATATTCCAAACTTCACATCCAATTACTCTGCAATCAAACAGTACCTGCACTTTGAAGGGGTCCCCCATGATGCGTAGGGGTTTATCGATGTTAGGCGGCTGTGATGGATCTTGAATAAGCATCATTTTAACCCCAGCTTGCTCCTAGGAATTTCCAAGAGAAGCAAGAAGAAGAATAAGTAAAAACACAGCAAGCTAACCTCAGATCAAACATGTTACAATGTTCGTTGGTCAAGCCAGGGTCTAAGCTCAATTTTCTTTTTAATGTTCAAATAACACAACGCAAACAAAACCTCACCTGTAGCTGTTTGATTGTTTCTCCTCCCTTGCCAATAATGAGACCACACTTGCTCGCAGGAATGATGAGTTCTTGCATAGAACTCGACTGAATGTGGCTCGACTCACGAGACCTAGACACTATGTCATCTATAAGTGCTCTGGCTCTCCTGGAAGCAAATTCAAATGACAAAAAAGTGCAACAGTTGAGGGGAACAAAGAACAACGGGCATGGACTTAATATGCAAAACGCTTCATATGATATTGATTTGTAACAGCCAGTGCATTGGTCTTTTTGTACATACAATTAGGGATGCACAATATTGGATTTTTGGCTGATATCAGATATGTTAAAACACATTTGGCCGATAACCGATACCAATACTGATATTTTCCCCTAGACCTACTTACAGAGACTACATACTTTCTCTGCTGTGGAATTAAAATACATTATTCTGCATGATCTTTGTCAGTTTGTCCTGCTACCAAACGCAGATGACACAAAGGGGGCTGAAAATGATGTAACACTTCAACTTGGATTATGTTTAATGTAAAATTTATTCATGACATTTACTCTCTCTAACACAATGACAACACTTGAACAGTGTAAATTTGCACATTTTCACAAATATAAACTGTTCACAAGTAAAAGCACATAAGTAGCAGTGCATTAATAGATATACATGACAGTTTCTTAAATTAAAAATTAACTTAAAACAGAAGCCTTTTATATCGGTGAGTTATTTTGACGGAATGGACGATGTCCGATATTTAATTCTATCGCTAATATCGACCGATACTGATACAATGCCGATAAAATCGTGCATCCCTACATACAATATCCAAAAATATTAGTGCTGAAGTTTAAAACGGGCACTATTTTGGAAATGTGTTGTTTTAGATGTTATCCTAGTCTTAAAATAGTCATCAGTTGTAGGGATGCAACAATAATGACACCAAGAAATTTGTTTTCATGAGCTCTTTCAATTTTCACTCCATCGTTGGAGTCAGCCTCCCCACCAACACAGACATCTACACCTCCAGATGCAGGAAGAGAGCCACCTGCATCATGAAGGACCCCACTCACCCAGCACACACACTTTTTGCCCTGCTCCCCTCAGGAAGGAGGTTAAGGAGCATTAAGTTTAGAAGCACTAGACTGAGGAACAGCTTCTACCCTGAGGCTGTTAGACTCATGAATCTCGAACCAGAATAATCACTGTGAAAAATCACATGTTGCTGCTGATCTGTTTCATGTTGCTGCTGATCTGTTTCATGTTGATGTGTGCTCATCTGCTCACACAGACTCATGTTCGTGCTGCTGTTCGATGTAATGTTCTTATGCTATTAATGCTTAGTGTATTTTTAGTTAATGTTTTTCTTAGTTCATATCTTAGAATTTATTACCGTTTTTCTTTACATTTTATTGTTGGATGTAACTGGGACCCCGTGTAAATAATTTCGCTCCACCACATGAACCACACGTGGTGGAATGACAATAAAGAATCTCCGACTCTGATCTATTTGTATTTGAATTTCTGTATGTGATTGACAGTTCCCAAATAACCTGATTTTTGTTTTGTTTAGGTTCAAGGACAGCTTATTTTCATCAAACCACATTTTAAGTCTATTCAATTCATTAGTTACATCCTTTAACAGTTGTTTCAAGTCATCTCCAACACAAAAAATATTTGTATCATCAGCAAATAGTATATTTCAGGTACAATATATAGATCATTATTAAATTAATTAACAGTTTGGGACCCATTTCTTTAAAACTAACACAATGAACTTTTGCTAACCAAGTGGCGCCTGTACTGATTTACATCGCTTGTATGACAGAAATTGATGATAAAGGTGATGTTCAAAAATGTGACGATCGCAAAAACCCAACTCAGCACCTGGTGTCATGACCCAGACCAGCTAAGTAACATGTGACCATGCCCCTCATGCAATTACCAGAAGTGTAGGACAAATCTGAACACCTGTGCCACCATAACAGTTAAACAACACAACATTCACTTTTGGCTCTTGCATCCAGTTTAGAATCGAAATTTACAACACGTGAAACTGAGAGAAAACGTGAATTTGTGAGAAAAATAAAAGTTAAATAGACACACCTTTGCATTTGTCTTTTAGTGTCAATAGCTATAGTTTGATTCCAAGAAGTAAAACTGCAGAACAATGTGAGTTCACCATAGAGAGTGACTCAAACAGGCTGCGCGCGCTCCCGCAGCTGTACCTCAATGCAGGCGAAGTGTGTACACAAGTCGGACTTGTCTGTATGCTAATTACGTTAGTCCCAACGTATTTACATTTAATACAAAGTTAAATTTTAGATACAAAAAAGACCCCAAGAGATTGGAGCGCGATGTGGGAGATCACGGGAAGAGGACATTTGGCATCTTCTCCATCGCACAGAACTGATCACATGCAAACATGTATTTATTAATTTAATATATGCCATGATCTTTATGGCAGGGCGAGTTGCCCTCCTTGGATAATGGTAGGGGGTACACTGCAATTATAACATGCCGCTTTGGTTTCTTAACGTAAAAGTAATGGGCTGGAAAAACATTTAAAAGACAAATACATTTACACTATATTTGAACAGTAACATCAGGATTAACTTACTTTACGGCATCTGCTGATCCTGTCAGAGAAATATTCCTTTCAGGAAGACCAACACCATCTGTGAATTATCAAGAGATTGTTAAACACACAAAAGCAACTAGAACAATGTAACGCAACACTGAATTTAAATAGAAGTGTTCAGGAGACAACTCACCGTGAGCGATTTGGACTTTGCATCCAGAATCATGTTGTATTTTGTTTATTTGTTCACCTCCTTTGCCAATGACTTCAGAAACAATAGCAACAGTTTGAAATTGAACACACACAACACACAGAAAAGATCTGGATGGTTTAAGAGAGGCGAGTGTATGTACTCACTGAGACCAATCATGGAATCAGGCACTGCAAACTCCTCTGTGACTGTAGAAGACCTGACACTGCAAACACATAAAACGCATCATTCAAAACGACCCTTTTCAATAACCACATAGACCACAGTGCTCATGTAAAAGGAAGCATAAAAATAACCTCTTACCTTTGTTGGGACAAAGCAGCTAGCTGAGCTCCAATAGCTGAAAGAAAAGAAAAATGGTGATAAGATTAAAAATAAGCAGTTCGGTGTCTGTCGCTGTAGAAACGAGTGTAACTTACACATTGCTGAATCCATGTCACTCTGTGGCGCTAACTTCTTAGCATCAGGTTCATCTAAAAACAGAATAAAATGTATTAAATAAAAAAAGACATAATATATACGACGTGCTTTTTGTCTTGATGTGTTAAATTATTATTTTTATATATAAATGTTTCTGTTCAGTGCCCTGAGGTGACTTCTGTTGTGACTTGGCGCTGTATAAATACACTGAAGTGATTTCTAACCTCCTCCTTCAAGGGATCGTTTTTGCGCTGTGAATGGATAATTCTCTGCTCCTTTGTTGTTCGTCACCGGCGGCGCACCTTCTCCAATTTTAGCTGCTATCTGGAAAACAGCAAACAATTGTTAAAACCAGGCTTCAGTAATCAGTTTTTTTTTTTGTTTTTTTTTAAAGAGCAGGAACTTACTATAAAAAAATAAATAAATCACATTTTAGTTACAGCTTGAGAGTTAAAAAGTCTAATGCTAATCTGAAGACAAATCTTGCCTAAACAGTCTTGACTTCATATATTCACTCTGACCTCCAAATCTGCATGCACAGATGTTCCTAAAGTGACAACAGAAAGCGCATACTGGTACATCGGAACACTGATCGTTTGCAATTTTGTGCTGGTGAAGATTCTCAGTCATCCAGGACATGATCAATTCAAAAAACGTTCAATACAAAAACAACTGGACTTTATTTGTAACAGAAGACGTTCCGCTCCTCATCCGAGGAGCTTTCTCAATTCAAAGAGCAGAGAGTGAGGGGTTCAAGTTATAAGGCTGAGATAAGATGCACACAAACAAGTGACAAATCCCACCTCACACTTTAACAGTAGGGGTTTCTTAAGGTCTTTTTAATCTAGATCACAGATGAGGCCCCTCTGTTCCCATCAGGTGTGAAAACCGGCTGGGAATCAGTCTTAAAGTTGCATTATAGGTTTTTGAAAGTGGAAATCTGAGGCCTCCTCCTCTGTTAAGAGACATTTTTTCTCTTTTAACATAAATTGCTTCCTTCACGCCCCCCCTCTCAAACCATCTGCGTTCTCGGTCCAAAATGTGCACATTTTGGTCCTCAAAAGAGTGTCCCTTATCCGTGAGGAGAACAGCTGAGTCTTGTCCATACCGAGGAGTATTTTTGTAGTGAACATTTTTGAATTTGCCATTTTGTCACCTATTTGTAGTCCTGTCAAGCACTGCCATCATTTAAATTTTGCAATCTGTGCATAATACAATAAATAAATCTTCACAGTTTCACAAAAAGAAGCCTGACTTCTTTGTATGATTTAGCTGGTTTTGATCGACTGTTTTCTGTGCTTAGAAATCTTTAACCGTTTATTTTACACCGCTATTTTAAAACAAAACTTTACTTTAGTCTTTAACACTTGTTAGGATTTGTTTATTCACATAAGAGTGAACCGCAAATCATTTGGTTATAAAAACACACAACCACAAGGAATAAACCACTTTTGTGTATACCCATAAACACAATAAAACACATTTACCCAGTACTTTTTACTATTAGAACTGTTGGTTTAAGAGCTTATTAAGAAGCGGTAAGTTTAAAATTATATTTAAAAAAAAAAAAAACATTTTATTCCTGATTAATTAGTTGCATCTGGGATGAAAAAAAAAAAAAAGGTCCAACTTGACAATTTTAGGTTATGAACCAAAATCTTGGCACACAATGTCCAGAATGACGCTTGATTTGTTTCATAAAAAAACATCCCTTTCAGATATTTTGGGTCATTTTCAAAACGCCCACTACTCATTGTTTGCTCTGAACTAGTTTCCTAAGATTTGTTTTTAGACTTTAGACTATTATTTTGAATTTCTTATCAGTTATTGCATGCATTTAGCCATTTTGTGTATCTTATTTACGATTTAAATGCATTTTCTTTATGTGTATACTGTACTTTTAATTTGTCCCAGGAACTGCAAATAAAGATCAGCCAAATCTGGTGCAAACATATTATTCCTGACAAATAATGTCATTTACACACACGCATCGTTTGACAGAAACGTGAACCCAACGACGATTACGATATATGACAAGTTTACGGCAAATCTAGTCCATCTAGACTGGATGGTTGACCATTTTAAAAAATACATTTAGAGTTTTCAGTGGTTCAACACATATATAAGCAATAATTTAGCGAACTCGAAGTAATACACGAGTGAGATTGGTTTCCCAGACTCCGTTATAGGCTTACAAAAGGAGAAACCGTTAACTGCATTAGCTTGTTTACACCTACGTAACAAAATAATACAGATAATATCAATGTAAACTAGAACTATATTAACTCGTTTACTCCACAAAAATATCGAAATCATCAATCAACATGAGGGGCTCCGCTGAACGCCAAAGCTATTAGCTAAGCTGTTAGCATGCTAAATGAAGCTAACGGCTAACTAGCTTCCGCCGCTTGTAGCCGAAGACCGGACTTACCTGCCTGGCTCGCTGTAACGCATCGGCAAAAGCGTCTTTTTTCGCCTCACCGCTAACACCGTTAGATGAAAGACCACCGTAATCAGACATGCTGCTCTTAGCAGGGCAAGAGAACACACTTTTGAGGGTGGGGGGGGGAGCAGACTGGGTAAGGCTTTGTCCCGGGTCAGGCTGCGCAGAAACGGGAAGGTTAACCAGAGCGGACTGGGGACAAGAATGTGAGCAGCACGCCGGCAAACTTCCCTGCTCAAACTGACCAATCAGAGCGCTTCTTCCTCCCGGGGTTTTCTTCTTCGTGTATCTTTTAATCAGTAAGAGTTACTGTTGCAACTCTGACTGTTGCCGCCTACTGGCTGGTGTTCTATGGACAATACAAAAATACCTTCTCTAGCACGAATTATGAAAACATTAGCTTTCCCATAAATTTAATAACAGCTGAAATATTGCAGAAAGGCAGGTGCTGTGTCACATCAAATTAGCTTATACACGATAATCATCATTTTCTCTGAATAAAATCGGTATTAGTAAACTTTGTTATATCAATACATGCAGGTAAATTGATATAAAACATCAACAAAGAGCATCTGTAAAAACAGATGGTTTTCAAACGATATTCCTGAGGTAAATAGCATGTCTGACATTCTATCTTGGTTAGAATTTTTTTTTGCTGCACTTATAAAATGTAGCTAGCAGGTGTATAAAGGTGAATGCACCAAATTAAAGTTTTTTTTCTATTTCAGTGAATCTGTGTGCTTCTACATCATACCACACATAAAGTGTAATATATAGTATATGAGCCACTTCCAAACCATGTTTTTACTATAAAAAAATTGTGTATTATCTTGATGTGTGCAAGTTTAAAACAGTTCTGTATAGGAAAAGTCTTGCTACACAAGTATGTAATAAAAAATATTTAGTTTTTATTAAAATGTGTCCTATTTCAACAGAATGATCAACTTAAATATAAACAATACTATTACTAAAGATGGCATCTAAATAAAAATACACATATATTTAATTTAAAAAAATGTAAACATTTATTTTAACTTCAAGGTTACTTTTAGTTACATATTTTCATATTTTACCTCCAGCTGCTATTTAAAAAAAAACAATAATTTTAGCTTATGGCTAACGATTCCTAAATTTAGATTTATCTTCTGTTTTTAATATTAAAATAATTTAGCAAATTTTAGTTTAAGCTACTGCTTTGTCAATTTTAGCTATAGTTAACGTTTTCCCTATTTAAGCTTTTAGCTATGGTTTTGCACATTTTAGCTTTAGCTACCGTTTTAATTTTAGCTATGGTTCTGCTTATTTTAGCTTTTAATTACAGTTTTGTTGATTTTAGCTTTCAGCATAATTTATTTTAATATTAGCTGCAGTTTAGCAAATTTTAGCTTTATTAGCTTTTAGAAATGGTTTCATGAACTTGAGTTTAAGGTACTGTTTTGCTGATTTTAGCTTCTGTTCTGCTTGTACATTAACATGTTTCAGCTTTCTACCAAGTTTTATCAGTCAGGACTCAAATTTCACCTGAATTGTTACATAAAATGCTAATATTTCTGGTTGAAGATTACTCATAAGGCACATTTGAAACAAAGAAAAGTTCTGAATACGATAAGAAAAAACAGGACTGAGCAAAAAAAGAAAACAAAACAGGGTACCATGATAGATTTGTTATCTTTAATTGGTTGGCATGTTATCAGAAATATACATATATTTGTTTATACTTTTAATTTTGCAACAATAATTCATCATTTAAACCCTCAGTTCAAATGAAGAAAAGCAGCACTATGCATGCATTTATTTACAAATTAAATGCTCGTCACAAATAAATAAATATTGTTTTATAACAAAATAATTATTTAACATAACTTTTATAAAATTATTGCATGTCAGTAAACCCTTGGGTGCTTTTCCAAGGATGTGAAAAAACGAGTTATTTAAGTTCTTTGTGCAGTATTCTTGAATTTGGCAGCTTTCCATCTGTAAAACCTTAAGTCATATGTGCGTTATTCAGCAGCAACACTTCCAGCAGGACAACAGTTAAACAGCCGTCTTCACCCATTTTTAAAAATAATCTTCTATGAGATGATTTCAGCTGCTTTTGTTTGGCTGTTGTTGAATTTTAAGACAACTCCTGAGTTTGTTGTGCAGCACGCTCAGCTTCTCTCTCGCTCACAGCTTCTCTACAAACCACCTGGAGAGGAAAATGAAGCCGAAGGAATGTAAGTTGAGTTCCTGGTTTTACTTGTTGCTTGGCGAGTTCACGCAAGTCCAAACCACTGCAGCAGCAACATGCTCGCTGGGCGACATGCATCGAAATGCAATAAAAAACTCAAGACACCTGCAGCGTCCAGCACAGATGGAGGCAGAGCAAATACTGTCTACCGCCAACACAGAAATTTAAATAAGTCAGTCATTTTGACCAATATTGAGATAAAATTTGGTGTGGTAGTAGCTGAGAGTCAGTCCCAACACAAACTTCAAGCACCAACTGATCACGCAACATCTTTGTTCAAAACTTTGGCATGCAAGCAGGAGGCGATACGTATTCCATTAATGTAAACTCGGATATACAGCATATGCATTTTAATGTCACCCTGAAACATCCCAGAATAATTCAGTCTCTTCATGCACTCGCAGCAGATGTGCACGTGCTCACAGGTAGAAGTCACTGCAAAGCATTTCTCTTTTCTCTGCCCCTCCCTCCTCCCCTCCTACCCTCGATGTCCACTCCCAGCATTATCCTCATGTATTCGTACACCACGTAAGACACGCTGACGGCCGGGACGATTTTCAGCAGGTTGGGGGAAATTCCTCTGTAAAGGCCAGTGACGCCCTCCTGGGTCACGATGTTGTGCAGCAACGACAGCATGGAGAGTTTTGGGGCTCCTTTCAGAGACGCTGGTCAAAGAAAAGAAGAAAAAAAAAAACTGGTTAACTTTTGGACTTTATCTGATTCAGCATGGCCACCAACGCAAAATGATCTTGACAAACACAACAAGCGTTACACTGATGTCCTCTGATCATTTGAATAGTGAATGTTTGTAGTTTCTATATGACTAGATTCAAACAGGGAATGCAAGAAAACATTTATGTTTTTGGTGCAAGATATTTTAGTGGGTATGAGTTAAACTGTGTATAAGAACAGGGGTAGTTTTTTTTTCTTTCTCCTTGTCCTGAGCAGCACAGAGCAAATGAAGCAATTTTATCTGCTACCAGGCACAATGGCAGAGTCAGGGGGTGGCCAGTGGTGGTCTTGGCCACCATAGATTAAACTTTGGCCACCCCAGCAGTCACACCAATCATTTGAGGAAACTAAACTTTTAAGTAATATAAAAACTAGAAAGAATAGTTTCCTCAAATGAGGGGGATGGCCGGTAGAGTTGCAATTGGGCCCAAAAAATTCGATCCGACCCGGCCCCAGCCCATAGCCATCACTTCTGAACCCCACCCGACCCGATAAATTAACAGTAATTACAGGTCCAAACCCGAAAAAAAAAAACAATACATTTTTAATTAAGCTTTGACTGCTTATATAGTTATTAACAGTTGGCGGACGCACACGGCTGAGTAAAAGGGGCAGAAGATTGGAGATAACGGGGTGTTTGTCCTTTCATGGCCATCCAAGTGCACAATAATAATAATGTATTGTCATCATTGTATGTGCCCATACAATGGCAAAATTGGCTCTCTGCATTTAACCCATTCACCCCCAAGTGGAGCAGTAGGCAGCAACTGAATGCACCAGGGGAGCAGTTGGGGATAGGGTGTGCTGCTCAGAGACACCACGAGTTGTGCAATGACTGGGGATCGAACCTGGGACTTTTGGGTCCCGAGTTGGTTGCCCTGCCTCTACCCTAAAAACACTGCTTCTGCCTGCATTCTGCATTATTCAGACACAAACCCTGCTCTGACATGTCTGCTTGGGATCTCACCTGTTTGGGTCATCGGCCACGTGCATCCGCTGAGTACAGCGGCTGAATGAACATCCATTTGGGCAATATATCACTTCCTGGCAGTATAGTCCCATCTGAAGCTTAACTGAACTTTATTTTACCTCTTTCAAGGCCAGTCAGCTCGCGGTGAAATGGCCGCATGCGGCTGGCGATCGTATGGCAAGTCGTGTTGCCATATAATTGGATCCCGGCTGCTACGCTGATGTAATCAAAAGCCCAGTACCGACCCGGCTCGCCCATCCAGCACATTATTATGGCCCAACCCGGCCCAAATTTGGGTCGGGCTTGGCCGGGCTTCAGGATAGAAATGACAGCTCTAATGGCCGGTATACACACGCACACACACACACACACACACACACACACAAT